TGCGTTCCTCTAAGTCTTCCTACCAATATGACTGAGTTGCGAAAACAAGGTCAAACAACTTCTATACAACTAAAGGAGACTGCCACCACATAAATGGCCACACCATCTTGGTCTTCATACCTTCGATTAAACTATGAAAGTAAGATTGCCAAACAATACACTAATTACAGCGGGACAAAGAAAACTATTGTAAGTAAATCCTGCCATTTGGCCTTTTTGAATTGTTGCAAACATTATGGTGTCGTTCCCCGTTTCTGTAATCTAATGAGGAAGTGTCATTCGGTCACAGTTAATGAAATACTATATCACACGGAGAAAATGGAAAGTATCCTAGGCGACCGAAGGATCCAACCATGAAGATCAACCGGACACTGAGGAATATGCTCAAGGAAATGCTTAATGATGGGGAAATTGATAGATGGGGGGTAAAATCTTTAATAAAAAATGATGCAAGACCACCGACAGCCTACGGACTACTACACAAGGAGGTAAATCCGCAAGGACTAATAGTCAACAACAAGCATGGAGCAATGCACGAACTAGCGAAATTCATTTGCTTGAAACTCAAAAAGTAAATGACAGACTCTTGAATACCATCAAGAATTCATATGAATTTTCTCAAAGGATCCAGAACATTGAGTTGGTGGGGTCGGAACTGTTGGTCAGTTTCGATGTACAATCCATTTACACAAACATCTCAGGCGAGAAGGCAGTAAGCACTTTGCTAGAGAAATTGGAGCGAGAAGAAGACATCCTGGAGGTAGAAAGGATACGGAAAGAATCGTTAACACGACTGATCAACTTGACAGTAAGGACTACATATTTTACATTTAACGGCAGTATCTACGAGCAAATGTTTGGACTACCGATGGGATCTCCACTATCACTTCTTTTGACAAATTGGAAAGGGAATTCGTGAGGTCACCACTGCAACCAAGAGTGCTTATGCGATATTTGGATGAGTACTTTGCACTTTGGTCACATGGTAAGGAAAATCTAAATTAACTCCTCAATTTTATTGACCAACTTGACGAAAGAATTAATTTCACAATGGAGGCAGAGGAGGATGAACGACTACTCTTTCTGGATATTGAAGTCATACGTTCCAAGGGGACACTCATGAGGAGACTATACAGAAAGAATTCATATGTGGGAATAATCCTTAATTTTCAGTCCCATCATAACTACAGACTGAAGATCGAAATACTGAGAAGTT